TTATATTATAAAAATAAAAAGAATAACAATTTATTTTTTTTTAATAAATTTTTCTTCTCTGAAAATCTAAAAAAAATAGTAAAAACTAAAGAATTAACTGCAATAATTTTTCAAGCGAAAAACAATCTTTATAAATTATCTTAGCCAGATCAAAGTCCCGATCTTAATCCAATTGAGAATCTTTGGGCTGAAGTCAAGAAAAGCATCCAAGCTTATAAAAAACCTCTATCTAATTTGACTGATATATTAAAAAGGCTTGGCAAGAAATTTCGAAGCATACTATCGAAACCTAGTCGATAGTATGCTATAACGAATTCAAGCTGTGATTGCGGCAAATGGTAGCACAACTAAATACTAGTTACTTAATACAAAATGTAGATCTTAATCAGCTTAAAATAAAATATTAATTGACTGTTTATTGTTAATACAAAAAAATTATAAGTTTTATATTGAGTGAAAAGTGTGCAGATACTTTTGTTCACCCTCTGTATATATACTTATCAAGAATGTAAGCTGTAATTCTTTTATAAATTGGTATTATTTCATAATATTAATTAGAAAAATTCTTGAATATCGACATACTCATAAAATGGTTTTTTAAATAAGAAATTATTTAATTGAATATAATCATCTTTGAGGCTATTATGATTGTAAGCAGTAATTTTATACAAAAATTTATTATTATCATAACTGTGAGTACTTTTATCACTATGATAAAGCTTATTCATACTATTAGCAGTATTAACTAAGTATTCAAAATATTTTTTTAAAATTTCAATTAAAAAAAAGAATTTTAGGCATTACTTAATTCTATATATTACTATTTATTTATGATTGATTAATAGATAATTTGAAAGAACTTGTAAGATGAGCAAGTTTTTATTGTGATATTAGTTTTTTTTATGATGATTAGTATTAGTATATAAAATTAATATTCACAATATGCACATTAAATTTTTGTATACATATTACATAGTATAAAATATGCATAAATAATTACTAAAAATAGATAAATTATATATAAAAATGAAAATACTATGTAATATATGCATTAATTTTCTACTTTTAGTATAATTTATATATATGACTTTTGGTTTAAATTTTATACATTGGCTAGTATGATAAATTTGTTATATGTTTTACCATTCTAATAAGTCTTCAATTATATAAAAATCTGGCAAGCGATACAAATATATACACAATATAAAAAAATGCAGATCAATATACTATAAGACATTTGCAAGCTAATTTACAAATATTTTGCCAAGTATATTATATAAATCACCTATTTAACTAATTTTTTGAGCTTATAAAATTTAATAATTTTATTATAAAGTCAATTATAGTTGTTATGTTCTATATAAAATTAAAGAAGTAATGTTGCATTAAATTTTTTATTAAATATCCAAATTTATATTGATAATAAGATAAAATTTAATTTGCAAAAATTTAAAAACCTTTAACATTTTTAAGTTATCATTTAAACCATTATTGACTTCTTGTCAACTTTCGGACTTTTCTTTTCTAACAAAACTTGTACTTTACTATCATCATATTATTTTGCTGTAATAGCATCAAAAAGGTTACAAAACTTATTAATTGTAGATTTTATATTCAATATATATTCAGAAATAATGCATTTGATACTTTTATTAACTTATACCAAAAATAAATCATGTTTATAAACTAATGCTATTTACGCAAAAATTATGAAAATAGTAAAAAATACTGATCCAAAAATCTATCTATTTATGAACAAAAAAATAATCTATTAATTTCATTATAGTATTTCAAGTAATTTGTTGTCCAATTAACTTATCTAATTTAGCTAACTTTGTCTTGATAATTTAATATTTAAATTGGAATTAAAATCTAGTTATTTAAAATTCTTTTGTTATTTACTTTATTCATTTAGTAATCATAACTTCTTCATAATTTTTCAGTTGCATCTTGTATTCTACAAATATTATAAGATAAAAAATTCACAAATGATCTATAAAAAATATAAGAAGTTTGAAAAAAAGAAGTAAAATATTTGAAAATTTTAAAATCAAATCCTGGCTCAAAGATAATAAAATAAAATTTAGCTAATAATAAAGAGGAAGAAATATTTCAGAGAAACCTAAGTATTTATTATTTGAAAATTAAATAAATATTACCAGAATGAAGTTTTAATAGAAAGCTAATTGTAAAAAAATTCAAAAATTCTCCATGCATAAAAATAAGAAAAATAGTAATAAAAACTTTCTTTTTTTTTACATAACAAATTTCTAAATATCTGCAGTTTCATATACTTTTATAAATTAGCAAATTATTATATAATTAAAAATATAGCAATTTTATTAACCATATATTATGCATAATATTCATATTAAATTTTCAAAATGGAAGAAGTTATATTAAAATAGTCTGACCTAAATCATACTTAAAAATCCATTTTTGAAATATTTTATCATTATGAACTTTAAGTTTTGCTTTAAAAATTGCAAAATTATGCCATCTCACATATTGATTGATATAATATTTAGCAATTTTAAGTGTAAAAATGCTGATCATTACTTCTAATTTGATTTTATTTCAATATCAAGAAATTATCTATTGTAATCAAATTCTATTCCTATTAAATAGTAAAAGGTAAAAGCAAAGCAAATTTTAACAATCTTTATAAATAGCATTGATAAATATGCTATAATAAGTTACCTAACACATTTTCTGTAATTACAAGAAAATTTTCTCTTTCATTATTATCATTTGTATTATCGCTATTTAGATTAAAACATTTGTTCTCATATTCCATTTAAGCAATTATTATAAAGTAAAAAAAAATATTGAAAATTAGCTACTTTTTGGATAAAATAACTCAATAATTAAAGAAAAGACTATAATATTTAAGAATAAAAACTAAGCAAAAATAGATATAAGCTACTTTTTAGAAATAATAAGAAAAAAAAACTGCAGTATGTAACATTATTATATTATAATTTATTATATCATATTACATAAATAAAATTACTATATAGAAGTAACTAGTAAGAAATAACTTTTTTCTTTACATAAAATGTAATTATATCTTTTTTAAAATTAGATCGCTCGAGTACTTCTAACATAATAAAAATTAGAACTTATTAAATTATTTGAAATATTACAAAACTCAAAAAGATTTTAAATTGAGTAAAGCTGATGAACACTTTTTTTATGATAGAAATCTAAAGTATTTAGTTAAAAAATATAAAAATGAGGAGTCCCAGTGAAAAAACAAAGAGATATCTCAATAAATTTGATATAAATATACTGCATAACCCAAAAAATTACAGTAAGCTGAGATGGGTAAATTCGAGTACTAGAATACATTTGTGTTAACAAATATTAAATATAGAAGGTCTCTAAAAGTTTATATACACTTTTTTTGTACAAATTTTTTCAAAATTTTATTAAGCAATTAAGCAATTTATAAATAATAAATAATGTTTCTAGACTATTAAAATATAAATTTTATTAAGGGTTTAATACTTGGTCAGACTACTATTTGCATTAATTACCGCCTGAATTTATTAAGACATACTTTTGATTAAATTTTCGATTTTTTTAGAAATAATTAATTTCTAAGCCTTTTATACTTGTCATTCAAGTGAGGAAGCTTTACTTTTTGGCTTCAAAGGTTTTTTTTAGTTTCATCTCATAAATTTTTGATCAGGTTAAGATTGAGGCTTTGGGTAGATTATTCGTCTTAAATTATGAGTGCATAAAACAAATCATGCAGAGTTTATGATTTTTGCGAAATTTGCAATATTTATATTTTTGTCCACTCTCTGTATAATAAAATGCAAGAAATATTTTAACAAATTAATTTAAGCCTAAAAGATTTCTTTGATTAACTTTACCTGGTAGCTCAGCTCTTAATCATAAAGAACAAATGATGACTTACATAAAGAGATTAATAGTATTCTTATATTATCTTCTTGCATTATTACATAATACAAAATTAATTTCTTTAAATTTAACTTTACATTATATTTAGATTTGACCAGTATAAGTAACAAAACTTGAATATGATAATAAATCTTAAAATAATAACATCAAGAGCTATAGATTATAAAAAAAGAATTTAGATATGCATAAGAAATACATAAAGAATACGTTTGCAAAGTATTTAAAGAAATTCTTTTATGCTAAATACTAATAATTATCATAATATTCATATCTTAAGATAATCTGATACTACTAATATATCTTTAATAATACACATAGTAATGATCATAATAAACTTATGTTAAATTCTAGTAATATTATATAATCAAGTATTTAATCTAAAAATTGTTAATAACAACTTAATTATAAAGCATTTTAACAGATAGTTCATTACAAATCTTAATATTTCAAATCATGATTGTATGTAAAATTATGTTAGAAAAGAATATTTTGATAATGAAATTATAAAAAGACTAATAATACATAATAATAATAATAGGTTAATAGCAAAAAAGAGTAGTCAGCATATACAGAATACAATTCTGATTGATTTATTAAAAATGATTTAAAAGGTATAGAAGAATATATAAAAGCTTTTTAAATTATGTATAATCAAAATTTAATATAAAAGTATTTTTTTAACTAAGTAATTCTCATTATTACAAATTAATCTGAATAATTTTATATTTGCAAAGCTATTGCAGAATGACTTATCATTAACAACAAAAATATTTTTTATTTTGTTATATTATTTTTATCTATAATAGATATTTTTAAATTTTTATGAATTTGTCTTTATAAAAAATACACTTTTATTTAATGACATTTATAAAGAAATATTTGAATTGAAAAAGAATTTTAATAAGAAATAATAATTGATTTAATTTTCCATATTATGCATATGATATGAGTCAATATTATGAATATTATATTTTAAAATTTGGTTAAATATTAAATACTTGTATTTAATAAAATTTATTGAATAATTTAATCTTTTTAATTCTATTTATATAGTATACTATCAAGCTAATAATTAGTTGGCCTATGAAAAAGCTTGAATATATTAATAGAATGACATTTTTTAATTTAATTGGAAGAACTATATATTGGCTCTATTAATATTTTTCTTCAATATTTTTTATTAAATAAAGATTAACTATTTAATGTTTAATATAATTACTAATAATCTTACTTCTTTAAATAATAGTCTTGTAGAAATTATTTATAATATTATTTGATAGTATACCTTTAAATTTCTTATAGTCTAATAATTACAAAAGAAGCTTATTTTATTTTCGAATATTGAGAAGATAACATTTTTAATAAAACTTTATAAATTTAGTAACTATCTGTATATACTAAAATAACTGATGCTTATTCAAAAATATGCTATATATTTTTTAGATATATTTATAAGAATATATCAAACTTACCTTTATTAAATTATAAAATAATAAATATCATTCTTTTAAAAAGTTTTATCACTTTCAAGAAACTTAATACTACTATTTTATATAATTATTTATATTACAATTGTATTAACTATTTAATTAATGGTATTATTTTGATATATAAGCATAGTTATTATAATTATTATTTGCAAAAATATTAATTTAAATATCTTATTTATTTAGAATATTTTCAAGATAATATCAAAAGAAATATTAATAAATTAAAATAAGTTTAGTAAGTAATAAAAAAAGATTCTATTAAAAAATAAATTTGATAATAAAAATTGTGAAAATACAATTGAAGATAATTTAAATAATGTAAAAAAGTGACAGATATTATGATAACAATTAAAGATTTATTAAAACATACAAAAAAATTTTTTTAAATTATAACTTTTCTTTAAATAAATATTTTTTATATAATATATCATTCATGATAAAAAAACTAGATCATAATTATATAAATATATTATAAATGTATATTAATGTCAATTATATTTTAACTAAACAATTATTAAATTAATTACATTTCTCATCTTAAAATTATTTATAATACTTTGATCACAAAGTTGAAGGTATGCAGTGGTATTTAGGGGGAGGGATTGAATAGTAATATTAGTCAGGCAGGTGGTTTCATAAAGAGCGTGTATCATTAAATTATATTTTTACATAATAAAAATTATTAATTTTTATTGATTAATTATCTATTTCATTTTATTATAAATTTCAGAAATAATCTATAATTTATATTACTAGGTTTGTTTAATTCTGATCATTTAACTTTTTGATTAAAAATCAATTAACTAATCCTAATATATAATCAAAATTAAAAATTGAGTACATCGATTGAATTTATTGATTAGGTTACTTTAATTATTTTTTTTATATAATAAATTTTTTTTTACAAAATATCAAATAAATAATATCACCAAAGTATAAAAATTTGTTATTAATTTAATTTATAAAATCAAATCAAATTTTTGATAATTTTGATAAAGATTTTAATAATAAAATGACTCTGAAGAAAAGAAGAAAATAACATAATTTTTCTTAAATTATATTCTTTACTAGATTCATATTATAGTGATATTCATCTTTATAATATTATTAAGTCTTAAAAATAGTGATATTTAATTGTTTTCAATTATGATAATACTAAATTTAAAAAAATTATGAAAATGGATTTATAAAGTTTTTAAAATCTTATAAAAAAAATTGAAACACATTCAATTTTTCAGTTAAGTAATAATAAATAACAAGCTCTAATTGAATTATAATTAGCTATTTTTTTAAGTAAAATAGGCTTTAAAAATAAAATTTTAGTATAAGTTTACATTTTAATATTTTAGAAAATATAATTTATTTATATTGCAAAAGGGTTTATTAGCTATTCTTTTATTAAAAGATTTATTAGTTATATAACTAATACAAGAATCAAAATAGATTATTTATGTAGATTTTAAAATATTAAAGAATTTAAAATATTATTAATGCTATAAATAGTGTTCCGCACAGAGTCAAATTTATCTAAATCTAATCTGAATCTAACGAATTAGATTCAGATCAGATCTGATCCGTCAGATTCAGATTCAGATTTGAATATGATCACGTCAGATTCAGATTCAGATTCAAATCTGATCTGTTGAATTTAGATTAAATTCAAATCTGATCTGTCAGATCTGAATTCAACTTTTTTAAAGCTGAAAAGTTCCTTTTCAATGAAAAGTAACGAATTTTCAGACTTCTTTTAAACTAAAAATTTGTTTCTTTTCATTGAAAAGAAACGAATTTTCAGATTTCTTTTAAAACTGAAAAGTTCCTTTTATTGAAAAGAAACGAATTTTTAGAACTCTTTTAGAGCTAAAAAGTTCTTTTCATTGAAAAGAAACGAATTTTCAGAACTCTTTTAGAGCTGAAAAATTCTTTTTATTGAAAAGAAACAACTTTTCAGAACTCTTTTAAAGCTGAAAAGATTCCTTTTAATGAAAAGAAATAACTTTTTAAAACTCTTTTAGAGCTAAAAAGATTCCTTTCAATGAAAAGTAATGACTTTTCAAAACTCTTTTAGAGCTGAAAAAGTTTCTTTCAATGGAAAGGAATAATTTTTTAGAACTCTTTTAGAGCTGAAAAGGTTCTTTTTATTGAAAAGAAACATTTTTAGAACTCTTTTAGAACTGAAAATTCGTTTTTTCAATAATACTTTCAGATTTAAATCAGATCAGATTTAGATTTAAACTGATCCATCAGATCTGGATTTGAGATTCAATCTATCAAATTCAGATCAGATCTGAATTTCAACAGATCTGTTAGATTCAGATCAAATTCAGATCCTAAAAAATGAAAATCAAATCAGATCAGATTTGGATAAAATCTGATTCGATCTAATTTTGCAGAACACTAGCTATAGATAATACTCATATTATATTAGAAATTGCATCATTAAAGCAATCTAAAATATATTAAAATAATTGTAAGAAAAAGTATTTAATTCAATATAAATTGTTGATCATTATAGTATTTTTATTAATTATAAAATAGAATGATTAGAATCAGTTTATGATACAAAATTATATAGAAATTCATTTTTATTAAAATATTTTTACATTTATAGAAGGTGTGATTTTTTATTTGGGGATTTTACATATTCTTTATTTAATTTTCTTTTAATAATCTTGAAAATAATTTATAAAAATAATTTAATATTACTTATTTTCTATATTGTGTAATAGTTAAAAATATATTTAGATAATTTAAGAATAGATTTAATAATTAAAAAAATTAAATGTTAAAAAAATATCAACTACAGTTCAATTGATTAAATATTATATAATTTACATAATTTTTTAGAAATAAATAATGATAAATAGAATAAATTAGATAAATTAGATAATGAAAATTATGAGAATAATGACGATAATAATAATTTAGATAATTTAAATAAAAATATTTTAAAAAAAGGAAATAAAAAAAAAGAAATCAAATTATAAATCAATTTTTATAATAATATTTTTAAATTTGATTAAAAAAAATATTTTTATTATGACAAAAATTAATCACTATAAAGATTAACTAGCTAAAAATATTAATCTTATTTTTGATATCTTAATTCCAATTTTTTCATTCTCAATTCAAATCTTATTTTTCTCTTTTTCTTTTTATTATTATCTTTTCTTTTTTATATACTTATTTTTCTTTTTTTTATTTTCATTCGTTTCTTTTCTAATTTATAACTTTTATCTAATTTTTCTTATTCAAAATTCATTTTTACTTTCAAATTTTTTATATGATTGATTCATTTAAACTATTATCATTAATATAACTTCAATATATTTTTACTTTTTATCTTTTTATAATTTTCTTTTTTAATTTCAACTTCTTTTTTAATAATAATGCCTATTGATTTATTTGATAAAATAAATGAGTTATGTTTTTATGTATTCTAAAAATAATATTTAATTTATTATATCAATACCAATCTTTACATTTTACATTAGATTGATTATTATATTTTTGATGCTCTCATATTTTTTAATTAAACATATAAGTTTATCTAAAATAATTAATTTAAATTTATAATTAAAATCTTTTCTTTTTAAAGTAAAAAACAACCTTTAAATACAGTTACTTCTTTATTTAGTAAAATATTTCTAGCTATTTCATTGTAAAATTTGATTTTATTTTCTTTAAATTAAGATGAAAATTTTTTTTGAAAATAATCAAATAAGATCTTGATATCATTATTTTTTCAATTTCTAGATTTTTTATTAGGATCTTAATCTTGATTATCATTACCATCTTCTTTAATAAGAGATTGTTTAAAAACTTTTAGTTTTTCCTAGTTGAGTATTCTTATAATACAAATAATATATTTTTTTTAATAACATTTTAAATATTTATATCAATTTTAAAAATATGTATTAAAAACTTATCAGCTGTATATATTTATCATAATTTTCTTTTAATTAAAAGATAAATTATATAAATAAAGACCAATTTTATATTGTTAAGAAATATATTACTCTTGAGAGAGATTTTGAAAAGAAACATCTTGCTGTTGAAGTTAAAAAGAATATTTCATTATTATTGAAGTTGAACTTGAAGAATATTTTATTGCAATTGAAGAAGAGCTTGAGAAATTTTTTGCTGAAAGTTAAGTAAAATTAAATATGAAGTTAAACACATAATGTTATTTTTTTTTTCTCTTAAGATTTAGAACTATGAGAACTGGAAGATTTAATATATTAAAAAAATCAAAATGATATCACGTTTTTTATTTCATCAGCCAATAATTATCAACTTAAATCTGAACAAAAATCTGAATGATCAGAATTGAACAGGTCTCTACTGAGATTGTTTTGATTAGAGATCTTGTAAGAGTAGCTATTTCTAAAATTAATAGGTTCAGTACTATTCGTCTTACCATTTTGTGTAGAAATATAAAAAAATTGAAGATAAATATCCAAGTTGAATCAAAAGTTTGGAATAATTGAAGTCTGTTATTCTACTGGTGAGTTGAAACTACTTGAAACAAAATATTCTTTCTAATAAAATATCAATGAAAAGCTGCACAGCTTCAAAGCGTTAGGTCAATATCAGGAGGCTTATGTAATTGTAAAAGTGATTGTAATAATAACAAATATCATTGCAAAAAGATGTCATAACAGGCGTTCATGTCAAAACAAAAATATGATTAAATGGTTGCTTTGTTTCTGAACTGAAAAATAAAGAAAAGTCACATCATTGTATACCGTTTTATATTTAGGTAAAATTTTAATTTGCAAAGTGTTAATGTTTATTCTTGAACTTAATCTTTAGAAGGTTTAACATAAAAACAGATGCTTTTTTACATTTTTTTACGCATAAAGGTTTTTATTAATTTTATAATATTTTATATATTCTATTGTATTAAAGATTTTGTGTGATTTGTTTTTTAAAAAAAAATTTTTAATATTTTGTTCTCAAAAAATAAAAACGAAATTAAGTGCATTTACTATATAAAATTGACCTCGGATTGTGCGTCAATCTTAGGCGCAACATATATATAGATCAGAATTTGATTAGAAATCAAATCAGATAATGATTATTAATACAAAAAATTAACTAATGTTAAAATTAATTAAATTCAAAATCTAAAGTTGGTTAATACAATTTAGGACAAGAATCATTATTTTTTATTTTTGGAATAACATTACATATAATATATTTGTACTAGTATTAATAGTCATACAAAACGGCGAAGTTTTGCAACAATCTAATAATTGACATTCATATACTGTCCCATGATGTTTTGTCATTTGGCCTTGGCCCAAAATGCTGTGGCAAAATCATGTGAAATGTGGCCGATTGGCACGGAGCATTAAACGATACAAATTATATCAAATAATAACGGTATCTTCGAGTTCATCGACTTTCGTCCGAATTACATCCTTAACCACCTTGGGTTGCGACCTTTGAAGCCTTTGAAAACAATAATAATTATCAAAAAAATAACGATCTCTCAAAAAGGTAATTGCTCATCATTTAAGATCCGATCTCCAATGTAGAGTATCATGTAAATCGCCTTATAAGGTTCAATGCATATTACACGAGGTGTTGTAACTCCGATATTTAAAGACGGTAAGAATTTTTTTTTATAATGATTTTTTCTTTCTTCCTTTTCAAAAATTACAATCGATATTACGCATAATTTGAATCTTTAACGCAATTTGTCCGCTTCATTTGCAGATAATGAAATCAATTAAATCACCTGAATTTTCCACAAATTATCCAACACCTGATTCATCCATTCAATACCTGTTTGATGAACAAATCGATGTTGATTTATCGTGTCCAAAATGTACAAATCCTCGTACAAGTGATCGTTGGTGCAATCATTGTGAAAGTAAACGCTTTAACGAAGGTTTTATGAATTGGACCAGTAATAACGCAATCATCGATGAATTTATTCGAGATACTCAAAGAAAGGCTACGAATAAAAGAGATTATTTAGTATGGATCGATTACGATAAAATTGAAGACATAAAGTATTTGGCTAAAGGGGGATTTGGTGAGATTTATTGTGGTATTTGGGTGGAAGGTCCTAATCGAAAATGGGTTAATATTGAAGGTAAATGGGACTTACAAGGTAAGAGAGCGATTCTAAAGTCATCAATCAGAAATTTCTATTGTTATCTCGAGTAATTTATTTCTTTTCCTTCTCATAGCAAGAACTCCGGTTGCGTTGAAAAGCTTATATAATTCAAAAGATTGGACAGAGGACTTTCTAAATGAGGTGAATTAAAAAAAAAAATGAATTCATTTAATATTACAATCTATACATCGATTCATTTGCAACCTTTCACGATCACCCAGTTACAAGCGCATTATAAATTCAGAAACGGCAGAGTACTTCACTGTTATGGCGTAACTCAGGACAAGGTGTCGAGTAATTACATGTTGGTTATGGAATTTGCGAATGGAGGAGACCTCCGCCATTATCTGAACAGAAATAATTCCCTATTATCTTGGGGACAAAAATTGCTCATTCTTAAAGAAATTGCCTTGGGTTTGGAAGTTATTCATTCAATGAAATTAATACATCGAGATTTTCATAGCGGAAACATCCTCCAAGATACTTCAAGTGACGGAACCATTAAAACGTTCGTCGCCGATTTAGGATTATGCCGTCCCGTTAACCGAACATTGAAGAGCATATCTGAGGAACGAGATGTTTATGGTGTTTTGTCCTATATAGCGCCGGAGATATTACGTCGGACCCATGATTATAGTGAAGCTTCGGACATTTATGGTTTTGGAATGATTATGTGGGAAGTTTTACACGACAAACCACCTTTTCATAACGTTCCACACGATGTACTTTTAGCTCTTGAAATTTGTAAAGGGGTTAGACCTAAAGTAGAAAGAAGAGCGCCGAAATGGTATTTTAGTTTAATGATAAAGTGTTGGGATGCCGATCCTTCAAAAAGACCAGAAATCTTAGAAATTAGAAAAACGATTCAAAGTAGATACTGTGATGAGCGAGATCGTGATTTGGCTGCTGAACATCTATCGACCGGAAATATCGATAGTGGTTTCAGTCAAACTTCACATCCCGAAGCCATATTTGCAAGTAGATTATTGAATTTTTCGAATTTACCGGATTCAGGTGATGTTCTTGATATTTCGGGTAAGTGAAAAATTCTCTTGATAAAGAATCAAGTATCTTCTTCTGTGGAAATTTCTTGAATTTAAAACCCGCTAACCTTTTTTTTTTAAAAAAAAAAAAAAAATTAGAATATTCCATTTATTTTTGTGATGGTGAACAAGTTGAAGATGAAGCAAACAAAGGTAACTTTCTCGAAATAAAAATTAAATATTCTGAAATTATGATTTAAATTTTATCTTATCTATCTTAGAAAATGATTATATTACGAGAGCATATGATGATTCTCTGTCAAATCATTTATAAACCATGAGATTTTGAATTTTTTTATTGGTCCACATGACTGATCAGTCATGTGCTCAAAATTAGCTAATTAACAACCGGAAAAACAAATTCGGTCCCAATGGTGTAGTTCATTTATTTAACATTTAATTGTAATTTTAGACGTATCAATGATAGAGTATTCATGAAAGAGTAGAGTAAAATGTATAGACTTGTATTATGTATTTAAATTATTAACTCTTTAGAACATTTGGATATAGATATCCCTTAATAAAAAGGTATAAATAAGTAAAAAAAATGAAAAAATGAAAAATGAATACGAAACAATTATAAATAAATCTATAATATATACTACTCGTTTGAATTTTTTTCATTCACTGCTCACAGTAATAAATTTTAAATAATTTTGCCATGATTCACTATGTTCACTTTCCATTTCATTTAAAACGTTGGCCCATTCTGATGGTGATAATTGTTTCATATTATACGTTTCACTTGCAATATATTCAACCTCCCATTCCGCTTTGCCTATCTCATTGGCCTTCTCGATGTCAAGATAATATTGAATATAATCAGATAATGCGCCAAACGTTTCTGAAGAAGTTGAATATCTGTACTCTCGAATTCCCGAGTTGTGAACTATGAAATAATTAAAAAGTCATTACAAAGTTGCGGACAACTTTCATTTACAAGAAAGAATCTAATTGATTAAATTTACTTGCCTGGAACTATTGAAGGAGCATTATTCAATACCAAGATAATATTGTCGAACGATTTCTTTGAAGGACCTTCATCCTTATCAAGATAGTATAAACTGTATTTGCCTTTAACATTTTCGGATTCCGTTAAGAAGGTCAAAGTATCTAGATTTGTATGACCTGTATTGGAAAATAAATAAATTAATAATCAATTTTACCAAACAAATTTGATATTTCTTGTTTACAAACCAGTGAAGTGACCGGATATAATATCAGAAAATTCCCCGAGCAATTGTACGAATTCATCTTCGCATTGCGAAAGAAATGAAGATTCACCTATGAAACAATTAAAAAGGAAAAGAATCCACTCTCAAAATACGCACTAAAGAATAAAAAAAAAATATCAAATATCATTTACCATCAGAATCCAAAGGAGGAACATGCTGTGCAATAAGAACTCTCCTTTTTTCTTGCCTTGCATTCTTTAATTGATTTTTCAACCATTCCAATTGAATTGCTCCTGGGGATTTTTTATTATCACAATCCTTTATTTGGTCATTAGATTCGTAGAAAAACATCGAATTTAAGCTAAATACGCTGAGTTTTGAATTTATGTCTTGTCTGAAATACCCGCCATTTGTAAAGTCCGAGGTTAGATTTAAATTTAGGGGCGTCCATATTTGGGTCAGGTTGCCGAAAAGTGTGTTTGGTCCACCTTCAAGCTGATTGTGCTCTATTTATTCACAAAGAGAAATTAGAATAAATCAAAAAGGAATTGCTGTAGTTTACAGATAACTTACCCCATTCGTCATTGTTCCCTAACGTGGGGATCTATTGAGGTAAATCGTGAATAAAGTCTAAATCATTTTATCTTTCTAGTCACTTCATCATTATTATGAGATTTACTTACAAATTTAGTTTTACTCAAGTCAAAAGTTTCTGTAACATATTGGACAACAGTTTTATGGCCCGAGATGACATCATCTTTCGAAAAAGGAATTTTTGAATCTCTATCATGCCTTAGAGAATCACCAGTATAAATTACAAAATCTGCATCATGTAAGTTGTCTTTAAGGAAAGAGAATGCTGAATCTAATAATGCGTAGGGTGAATCACAATTCGAACCTAGGGTACCGAATTTTCCTGATATATTGTTCTTTGATTTTTTTGCATAACGATGACAATATTTTTTTGGTTTGCTATTAGTAAGATAATAAGGGTCAAGATGGAGATCTGAAGAGTGCAAAAACGATAATTTGAATTTTATGTATTCAGAAAGAATCAATAGATCCAATGATTAAACTTTATTTTACCAGTAATGTGCAAAAATTTCCCCGAAAATTCTTTATTGTTAATTTCGTTTATTTGAAATCTAAGTTGCGTCGAATGAAAATCATTTTGATCAAAGGGAATCGCTTCAATATTCCAAATAACCCTTGTCATAAATATCCTAAATAACCACATCATAATAATATTAAATGGGGTCCACATTTTCGTTGAGTCAAGTATTTTTTGAGTCAAAAAAAAAATTATTAATAATAATAATAATAATAATAATATATACCAAATTTTGAAGAGAAAAAAGAATATGAGAGGTATTTAAAATATAATGCTGAATTCGAATTGACGCAAATATGAGGAAAAGATTGACGAATTTTATCAATTTTAAAAAGGTTTCCGATACATAGAATCATTTGAAAAAACATCTTTTTTCTATTTTTGATATTTACCATATCAAATTTAAAAAATTTTTAAATCATCATCATGAGGTTATCTTTGGTCCTTATCCTTTTGATCCTCCTTTTGTTAAAAAAGATGTCTAAAAAAAGGTACGATGATCTGCGTCCAACATTTCTTTTGAACGGTTTTGGACATGTCCGATATTAAGGTACAGTAGGATGCATTGTCACACTTTTAATCATGACCGTGCGAAATCCTCCTTGATAACATGTGATCAAGAATAATTGTTATAAAGCCAACCAAATCATTTATTTCAAACAGGTTCCCCACTCTTATCTTTTACCTTTTCTTTGCAATGTCAAATTTAGCTAATTATATTGTTCGATCTACCAATTTTGGAATAGTTGGAATTGGAAGAAAACATGAGATTATAAATCGACTTTTGATTCGCCCGTGGATTGTAACCAATTCTAGAAATTATCATGATGATGGAACCTTTGGATACAGGATTCCTAGGGTATATGCTATGCAAAATTGTTAGTAAATTTAATTTAACCAGCGACGTCAAATGATCACGTCAAAACGATCTCCAATAATTTAAGATTTGATTACATAAATTGGAATGGCGTTATCGTTTATTGACTGCGCCACGCTCACTAGTCAAAATTCCTATGCATATATATAGACACGGACGCAGAATTGTCGAATCGTATCAAAAATGCGAATTTGCTTCGGCTTGTATATGCGTATAGAACTCATGGGCACAGAGGAGCTCATATTGATCCTTTGGGTATTTTACAACTAGAGTGAGTACGTTTAATCGTTATCATTTATCACCGTCGAAGTTTAATTTGATGTGATCGATTAATTAGAGAAGTTGCAGCTCTTGACTCTAAAACTTATGGATTTACGGATTCCAAAGAGCTTTATAATTTAAACGGTAACATGTACATTCTTTCAGAACGACCTCCATATCAAGTTCAACATTCGATCTCTAATATTTTTTTTTTATTCTGATTTTAGGGATATTGCATATTAATAAATCAGGTTTGACAAAAGATTCCAAAGCTGATGCAAATATAGAAACTATCGTTTCTTATTTGAAAAAGGTTTACTGTGGAAAAGTAGCTTATGAGTTCATGCATATTCCGGTAAACAAAAAAAAAGAAATGCATTTGGAACAACCACGTGAAAAATTCGACGATACATTAAAAAACTTTTCTTCGTTAGTATACGAATGAAAGACGTTGGTTTTATCGTACTCTTGAATCTTACGACAAGACTTCATTAAATGCAAAAGAGAAGCGAAGAATTTTCGAGCTACTCACAAGATCTGAGGCACGTTATTTTCACATATCTAAAAACCATCGAGATATTTGTTAGTGACGTGATTCGACCTTTGTTATAGGTATTTGATCACTTTATGGCGAAGAAATTTCCTCAAGTTAAACGATACGGCCTTGAAGGGGCCGAATCAATGATGGTAGCCTTGGATAAATTATTTGAGGTCTCAAATAAAGGTATGAATTAGCGTGCGTATACTTTCTCGTAAATTGCTGTCAATTTCAAATAAATTTTTAATGTTTCTTTTTTAGCTGGCATCATTATGGCTGTTCTATGTATGCCACATAGAGGTCGTTTAAACCTTTTAACCGATTTATTAAAATTTTCGCCTGTGAGATTATTTCACAAAGTAAAAGGAAATCCAGAATTTCCAGAACATTTACCGGCATCTGGAGACGTTTTATCTCATTTGGGTAATTCACTTTTTTTAAAAAAAAAAACAAGGAAAGAGTTTTTCTGCAAAAGAATTATAAATTAAAAATTTTTTGACGAATTCATTTTAAAATTTTAGCCTCATCGCCTGTATTGGATTACGGTACAGAAAAACCACTAAGCGTCTCTATGTTGCATAATCCATCGCATCTAGAAGTATTAATTGTTACTAATTCTTACTAAAAAAAAAAAAAAAAAAAAAAAAAAATACTAAAATATTAAAATCATGTTTTATTGTACAGGCGGTAAATCCTGTTGCTATGGGAAAGGCTCGTGCCAAACAAATGGATCTCTTAAAATCCGAAACAGATTGCGAACTGGGAGATCGTGTGATGTGTATTCAATTACATGGAGATGCAGTAAATTATATAATTCCCATAATTTTATTTATTTATTTTTTTTTATAAAAATAAAAATAAAAAAATAAAAAATAAAATAAAAAAAAAAAAAATTATGTAGGCATTTACGGGACAAGGAGTGGTTATGGAAAGTTTTGGATTGTCAAATTTACCACGATTTTCTTCCGGTGGTTCATTTCACATCGTAGTAAATAATCAATTGGGTTATACAACGCCTGCACAAAATGCAAGAAGCAGTTGGTATAGTTCAGATATTGGAAAAATGATTAATGCTCCCGTTATTCACGTTAATGGTGATTTTCCTGAGGTAAGATTATTTATATAATAAAATTTTTTCATTTCTATTATTTTATTTTTTTTTTAAAAAAAAAAAGATAAAAAAATGTTTAAAAATAGAATTTTAATTAGGATGTTGCGCGTGCTGTTGAAATTGCCTTTGAATATCGAAATAAATTTAGAAAGGTAGAAAATTTTAAAATTTTTTCAATTAAACCAATGAAACGTTTTATTAATTACCTTACTTATTTAGGACGTGATAATAGATTTAATTACATATCGTAGGTGGGGTCATAACGAATTAGACGAACCTGCTTACACGCAACCTTTGATGTATGCTAATATTCGATCAAGGAAAAGCGTTCCAAAACTTTATGAAGAAAAGTTATTGGTATATATCATGTATTATTTACGCGTAAATTCTGTTTTTATTTTATCTTTAAATTTTTTTTATTTTTCCAAATAATTATTCATATAGAACGAGGAATTAATAGTCACTCCAAATGAAATTAATGAATTTAGAGATAATTATTTTAAATTTTTGGAACAAGAGCTTAAATTATTTGAAGATTATAAACCGGAGGCAACTAATTACTAATATTCTCATATGATTTTAGAATGTACCCAAAATTAAAATTAAATTATTTATAAATATAGGCAGATACCCTGAAAAAGAAATGGAGTAAAATGATCATGCCAACTGAAACGGTTTCAAAAATTGACACAGGTAACGTTTGAAAATTTTATATTATTAATTTTACTCTGAAAATAAGAAATGAACTTTATTTAGTTTATTCATAGGAGTTTCAAGAGATGTTTTAGAGAAAGTTGGGAAAATTTCAGTAACCGTTCCGGATGACATTGTAAGTTTTTATTTTAATATCCCAGATTTTACTATTTATATTTATATTTGTTGATAAAATTTTTTTTTTGTTCTATAATAGGTAATACATCCTCGTTTAAAGAAATTTCATATACAGTCCAGACTAAAGGGAATCGCTGAAGGCAAGAAAGTTGATTGGGCAACAGCAGAGGTTTTTAAATTCCTGCTCATTTATTTAACAAAAAAAAAATGTACTTAAACATCTTTTAAATTAACTTGAATTTCAACACTTCACGAAGGCCCTTGCGCTAGGTTCGTTGCTACTGGAGGGACATAATGTTAGGTTATGCGGGCAGGATGTGGGTCGTGGTACATTTAGTCAACGACATGCGATGATGGTTTGTCAAGAAACAGAACGCGTGGTTATTCCTTTAAATAATCTATCGAAATATCAAGGAATGTTTGAGGTTTGTAACATTCCAATTGTTTTGTTTTATAAAAAGAAAAAGGAATAAATCGTTGTTTAATCATTATAGGTAGTGAATAGTAACTTAAGCGAATTAGCGGTGATTGGATTTGAATATGGAATGTCAATTGAAAGTCCGAATAATCTCAATATATGGGAAGCACAATTTGGTGATTTCTTTAACGGAGCCCAAATTATCATTGACACTTATATCACAAGCGGTGAAGGTATTTTATACATGCTTTTAAATTTAATGATTTTTAATTTCAATTATCAAAATTTTTTTATTTCTTTCAATAAAAGTTAAATGGTTAAGACAATCCGGGTTGGTCATGTTATTACCTCATGGTTATGATGGAGCAGGACCCGAGCACAGTAGCTGCAGGATCGAACGTTTTTTACAGGTAAGATTTCTTTGTAAACTTGGTTAATAAATTCGATAAAAAAATTTTAAACCTAAAACATTATATTTTTTTAATAGCTTTCGAACGATAGATTTGATGTATTAAACGATAATTTACCGATTAATCCAAATATGCATATAATAAATCCTACTACCCCCGCACAATATTTTCATGCTTTAAGAAGACAGGTTGGAGTTCTTTTATGAATTACGTAATGCTTTTATGTCGTATCCTAACTAAAAAATTTTTATAATAGTTGAAGAGAAATTTTAGAAAACCTCTCATTGTTATGACACCGAAAATATTATTGAGATCACCTGCAAGTTATCTTTTTATTTTTGGATTTACTTTTATTTCATACGGAATTTATTTGTAAGAAATTGTTGTATCTTTTTAGGATGCTGTATCAAATTTTGAAGATATGATATCCGGCACGACATTTCTACCAATTCTCGGAGATAATACCATTTCAGACAAGTCAAAGTAAATAATCGGGACGGATTGAGTTTGTTTTTAAATAAAATCTTTTTTAATTTCTATTAAATTAATGGTATGTAATTTTTTTTTAATATCTAGGGTTGAAAAGGTTGTATTTGTTTGTGGAAAATTATATTATGATCTTGTGAAGGAACGACACAAAAAGAAACTGGAAGATAAAGTCGCGATCGTTCGAGTTGAGGTATACCGAAACAAGTATTATTTAATTTATTTGATGATTAAATTGATATTAATTCAATTAATTGCTGCAGGAATTATGCCCATTTCCAAAAAAAGATATTGAAAAAGAATTAACCGATTATAATAATATACATGGTATTTTAAAAAAAAAAATGATAGGATGTTTTAATTAAAGATAATTATATTAAAATAATGAAAAATTCCTAATTGTGTAGAATTCATTTGGTGTCAAGAAGAACCACAAAATAATGGTGCTTTTACATTTATTGAACCAAGATTAAATCAAACATTACCTAATGAACGAAAGGTAAAAAAAAAAACAAAATTCTGTTCTTGAATTATTATTTAAGTTGTATATGCATATTTTTTTATATCTTTAATTTTTGAAATATTTTGTAGCTAAAATATGTGGGTAGACCAGCAAGTGCTGCGCCGGCTGTTGGTGTTTCCAAATGGCACCACATGGAACATTCAAAAATTTTAAATGATGTCTTTTGATTGTTTATTGATACATAGATTTGATTATATATATGATCGAGTCAGTCATATTTTACTTTGAAAAACTTTTTACTCAATAACTGGTTCTTTAACAATCCTTCGTTTAGTTTTTTTTTTACCTGATGTTATAAGTTGGTTCCTACTAATAAGTCTTTAAAACTTTTATAAAATTTTGAGAATATTAATAATTTAATAATTTATGCGTTTAAAAGAGAGAACTTATCAATGAACAATAATAACATTATAAATTGAATCAGAATTTGTATTAAAGGAAAATTCTGCACGACGATTCATCAGAGCGTCATCACATTTAAGAAGACAATAATTTTTTTAATAAATTATAAATAGTTTAAACTTTGAATCCCACTTAGCAATCGAGTTTTGTGGTAGGAAAAGGCAGACGTGTTTGATCTTTTTTATTCATTAATAAGAGGACAAATATATCTACGCTTTTTTGTTAATGAACAATGAAGTAGCGTTTGCTTATAAATTAATAAATATTCTATTATTTTTAATTTCTCTTTTAATATAAAAAATCTTTTTATTTTATGATATCCATTAGATTGCAATCAATCCGATAGGTGTTATACAATCTACTGATGACGTCACACTATCCATAATTTAGAAACATACATTATGCGCGCGAACAAGGGATGCGACTAATTTTGATGGAAATATTTTACACAGAGAGTCGTCAAAAAGTCCCGTTCCTAAATAATAAAAAATTTAACAAAATCAAATTGGGTGTATACGCATGTTTGCCGTAAGGATATCGAATTTGGATAATTTAAGAGCATTCATTATTCTAACATGAAGAGCTTCCCGTTAAAGGTCTAAAGTATTAGTTATTATTACCCAATACACACAACTTTAATGAAAAATTTAGATATGCATACAAGTCATTTAGTGCTCGGTTATTTTCTCAGTAGAGAGGAAATTGTATTTAAGCATTCCACTTTTAATCATCTTTTTTTTTCACTTCAAACTGCACGTATTTACAAGTTATATATCCTATCATCTTTAACATCTGAATTACCATTAATTTCATGTTATTTCTCTTATTAAAATCAGTTTCTATTATTTTAGCTCAATATGCGTATAAATATCAGAAATCTACAATTTGGAAGAAAGACTTTGATGGTTGGAATACTCATAATTTCTATCATCTGGGGTGCTAACGCGGGTTGTAATCTGCTCATGTGCACCAAATCTGATGATACCGTGGCAGTCGCAGGTGCTAAAGATCCGGAGGAATTAAAAAAAGCACAAACTTTTATCGTCACCCAATGCCCTGGAGTAACCAGTGTTACTAACTGTGAAGTGGATTGCAATGGACCGTATCATCCAGGTGCAACACAAGCATATTTTATCTGGAGGAATTGCCAAGATAATTTCGCTGATTCTTTTAATGATTATATCTGTCCTCATAATGTTCTGAAAATATGTAAATTAGGTTATGATCCAGATTACCCATTCAACTAATATTTCGAATGACTTAAATAATAATCCACATCAAACATTTTATTTATCATTAGTTGCGTTCATTTTATTGAACTTTTAATTTTTATTAATTTTAATTAGATTTCCTATATACAAATCTCTTTGTACTTTGTATTTTGTTCATTATTAATTTTAATTAGATTTCATATACAAATCCCTTTGTACTTTGTAGTTTGTTTTTTAAGGGAATTTAATAAAGTTTTGTCAATTAGGCTTGAATTTTTGTTGCGTGCCTGTATCGGAAAATACATATATAATGATAATTCATCATCGACTTTTAATCTTCTTTGGCTAAGACATATTGAATATTTAGTTCAAGTTCAATTCAACAAGAAAAGATATAGATTAATATAAAACCTTCATTTCATGGACTGTTATATATAGCTTGATGTGAATAGAAAATGGTCTAGCAATATCATTCAAAATTCTTCAGGTAATAAATAATTAAGAAAATTTTATATTATTTTCGTAAGTTTTACATTAACAATATTAACAATAGGTTCGATCATCGAAAATTTTCTATCACTATGAGCTAATTATAAGTACCTGGTGGCGGTTTTTGAAATTTTTTTTTTTTTTTTTTGTTGAAAATAAAAAAAAAAAAAATAAGAAAAAACGCTCTTTCACCTTGACAACAATTTATCTAGATCAAATATATACCAAAGTGTTTAATCTTACCTATATCACCTTTAAATTGGTCTTTATTTCTCAATATAAAAAAACATCAATGAAATAGCCGAACCTGATCGAAAATTTACAGTATTTTCAGACTTATCACGTAACCTTTAATATATGGTAAAGGTTGTTTTGTATATCCATTATTCAGTATTTTATGAGAATAAAAAAAAAATTTCTTATCGGCTAACGAAATAAACAAATAATATTATTTATTATAATTATGAATTCTTTAATCGCGAAAAATTTAAAAGTAAATGAATGCTATGCTTCGCCTACATTATTTATCAAATAAAAATTCGAGATTGTAATAATACCACAAACTAATGCGTCGTCAATTCTAAAATAACATTTATTGATTTTCTTTTGAATTCATAGATGTACAGTAACACAAATATGCATAACTTTTGATTATCCAATTTTTTAATAGTGACCTTTTTGATTACAAATAATTTCAGGTTCTTTGAATCCGTTTTGCATATCTGAAACCTGTGACAGGTTACGCCGAATATGTTGTTTAGACTAATTGGCGCAGCTAACTGTAAACGTCAATTAGATTTGACTATCCTATAGTTGATGCCAACGAAATTGACTGTCCTTTTTTTTCGAACAAAAGTTTTGTTTCGAGCTATAGTTCCGAACACCATAAATAAACCATAAAGAATACTTTAAAATAATTATTTTTAGCATTTTTTTTTATTGTATAAACTTTCTATAGTTAAAAGCATGTATTAATTAAAGTAAAAAAAGATAAATGCAAATAAAT